GTTCATCGATTTGCTCGAGCGGGCACCAGTCACGTCTCCATTGTGAGACATTGTTACTGTTTTTGGCATAACGAATATGCCACGGGGAGCTTGCCAGGCTCTGCCGTGTGGCAGAATACTCCCGGTAGCTTGCTGGGCTCTCTGAGAGGGATGGAGGAATCAAACCTGGGTTGGCCATGTGCAAGGCAAATGCCCTACCCTCTGTGCTATCGCTCCACTATTTATCAGGTAGCTGATAAAATATTGTTTCTGGGAATGTGTGTGTTTCCAGGAGAGCTTAGCATTTGGTTTGGTAGACTGAGTAAAGACGATGGCCCTTGGCCCGGAAGGTGGGCATCCCTGAATCTACCGAGGGTTTCAGTAGAACAAAAAGGCAGGGAAGGGGGAATTTGCTCTCTCTGCTCAAACTGGAATCCATGTTCTCCTGATCTCACACACAGACGCGCTTTTAATTGAAGGGACAATTCTGGCTTTCTTCCACTCCCATTTCCAGATAGCAGATGGTGGGATTCTCAGCCTCCGTCCACAATCATGTGAGCCAATTCCTGACAACAGAGTTCCTTCGGGGTCCCTAGAAATGTCCTGTGGGTTCTTCTGCTGTTTAAACCCTGACTAATACACTGGAGCTGGATTCTGTTTTGTCAGAAGAAGTTCAGAAATGATGCCCTAGATCATGTCTACAAGGATTAGTCTAGGCATTGCCTTATTCCTCTAGAGAAGATTAAATCATGCCGGTGGATTAGGATAATAGGATTTCAGAGTCTCTGAAGAAGTCTTGGCAGACTGGGCAATGTGTCTCTACACTAAGAGATTATTCCACATTTGCCTGGGTGAGGCTTGGGATTAATTTCAACAGATGATATACTTAGTAAACACTGGGAAGACTATGCAATGGTACCTCCATGGGAATCTACACATTCTGGAATTTATTGTATTTTAATATGTCTACTTATTTGCCAGCATCGATGATCATTTAAAAATGATAGAAACAATGGCTGAAGCAATAGTACAACAGGTGGGACACTTACCTTGCCTATGGTCAACCTGGATTTGCTCTCTGGCATCCCATATGATCGCCTGAACCCAGCCAGTAATGATTCCTGAGCAAAGAGTCAGGAGTAATCCCTGAGAACTGCTGAATGTGGCACAAAAACAAATAAATTATACAAAAAAAAAAATAGAAACAGTTTTGGTATACTGTATCCCAGACTTAATATAAAGATGTTCTCTGCAACATGGTTTTATATATCAAGATGTAATGGAGGAGCTGGGGAGACGACCCAGAGGGTGAGATCACAAGCTTTGCATATAGGGAGTCTGGGTTTGAGCTTCAGGATTGCATGATTCCTTGAGCACCATACACCAAGCCAAGGGTAGCTCCAAAGGACCATAGCATCTCCCCCAAGGAAGACTAATGAAGGTAATATGGCACAATTTCATCTTTGTTTCCAGTCAGTATTATGTGCTCAAACTTTTCAGTTTTTATTTCTTCCAGTGAAGCAGAAGAATTTCACTGAAAGAAATTCACTTGGAGAAGTGTGAGGGGAGAGAATGATACATATTCAAGCGAGTATGTGGGCTTATACAGAGTGGAAAAGCCAACATTTTTTAAGTTTTAAAAAAATTCTTCCATACAGTTTTTGAAATTCTGAAACATGACATCCAGGATATAGCATAATCTACTCAAGCATGATCCAACTGTTATTTGAATTGTGTGATATCACACACACACACACACAAATCACATCTTTAGATAAAGATGCTTTTCTCATAAAAGTTGTTCCACTCACCATGCTCTCAAGATCTGAGATCTTGAATGTATTCATATGTAGAACCCGAATATATTTAACTGCATATATTATCTGCATTATATGGCAAGCTACCTGTGGCACATTCGATATGCCAAAAACTGTAACAACAACGGGTCTCATTTCCTTGACCCTGAAAGAGACTCCAATATGGCAGCATTGTGAAGGACAAAAAGGGGTGGCTGCTAAAATCTCAGGGCTGGGACAAATGGAGACATTATTGGCACCCGCTCGAGGAAATCGATGAACAATGCGATGATAGTGATACAGTAATATTCAGGGTATCACCGTATCACTGTCATCCTGTTGTTCATCAATTGCCTTGAGCAGGCCCCAGTAACATCTCCTTCGTCCTAGCCCTGAGATTTTAGAAAGTGCCACATTCGAGGCTCTTTCAGGGTTAGGAGAATGAGACCCATCATTGGTACTGGTTTTTGGCATACTGAGTACACCATGGGGAGTTTGCCAGACTCTGCCGTGTGGGCAGGATACTTTTGGTAGCCTGCCAGGTTCTCCAGAGTAAGAACTAGATGATAAGATGCTTCTGGGAGCAGGGTTTTATAGTCTCTGGGTCTTGGCCGTTGATGGGATTACACGGGGCCAGGAGCAGTTGCTGGGTGTAACGCCTAGCTACAGGGAGATGAGGAATCTGGGTGGAAGAGGCCCCAGTCCCAATCTGAGCAGGCTTGGAGATCTATGCCCCGGGTCCCACACACCTGGGTTCCTCTGCCAGTTCCTTCATGCGTGAGGCTTGTCTGAACATGTGAAGAGTGGTCTTAAGCATGGCTGTGACTGGAACCAAAGGTCTTCAGCTGCTGGGGCTCTGCTTGGGGTGGGGAGGGAAACTCAACCCACCCTTCTCCAAGGAGCCCCAGTGAGGACAGCCAGGCGCGGAGGCAGGAGACTCTGTGCTGTTCTCTTCCGGGAGGAGGGTTTTATAGTTTCTGGGTCTTGGCCGTTGATGGAATTACACGGCGCCTTACAAGGTACAGTGTATTTTAATTTGCTCGTATTGTTCTTCAGACTGGACATTTTGCTCTGTGTGTGTGTGTGTGTGTGTGTGTGTGTGTGTGTGTGTGTGTGTTCCAACCAGTGTCCACGTGTGCTTTCCGCTTCTGAATAAAAGGTTTGCTCAAAGAAGTCCAAATGCTAATGCAATGCTGTGATTGCTGTGATTTATAAGGAAAAAATGGAGCGATAGCACAGCGGGTAGGGCGTTCGCCTTACAAGCGGCCAACATGGCCGACCCGAGTTCGATTCCTCCGCCCCTCTCGGAGAGCCCTGCAAGCTACCGAGAGTATTCGATATGCCAGACACGGTAACAACAAAGTCTCCAATGGAGACGTTACTGGGCCCGCTCGAGCAAATCGACGATCAACGGGAGGGCCTTTGTCATTTAGATGACCAAGATATATATTTCTCAAACGCCTTTCTTTTTCATCCAGAGATCCTGGGTCACAGGGGCATATACTTTCCTAAGGTCAAGAATGACAGAGGTGTCTTTAGGTGAATGAGGTGACGTCTGGAAACTCCTAAGGATGATCATGGCTGGTTGCCTGGAAACCATCCAGGTGATTAAAGGTTCGACTGTCTGGTCCATCCCCAGACTTCTGAGAGGTCACTTGCCTCTCAATGACTGATGATGCCTAAGTAACGAAGCCTCCATAAATATCCAAGTGGCTGGGGTTTGGAGAGCTTGTGGGCTGGTGAACATGTGATTTGGGGAGAAGGGCTTGTCTGGACAGGCACGGAGGCTCTGTGCCCTTTTCATCCCTGCCCCGTCCATCTCTCTCACTGGACTGCTCCCAAGTTCCATCCTTTTGTCGTAGGTCAATAATATGGCGTGTCCAAAAGGAGAGAGAGAGAGGGAAGGCGACCGCCACAGAGGCAGGGGGATGGTTGGGATGGGGGAAGGGGGGATACTGGGGGCATTGGTGGTGGAAAGTGTGCACTGGTGGAAGGATGGGTGTTTGATCATTGTATGACTGAAAGTCAATCATGAAAGCTTTGTAACTGTATCTCGTGGTGATTCAATAAATTTTTTTTTTAATCTAGCATATAAACAGACTTTGAGTTCTGTGGTTTGCTTGGTTGAACCTGAGGAGGGACTTATGAGCATCTCGGATTTTTAGCCCGTTGGTGAGAGACACAGATAATAAACCTGGGCTGTGACTGATTTTCAGTCTCAGGTCAGGGGCGGTGGGCTGGCCACCTGCATCCGGAGGGGGCGGCCGTCTTGGGAGCTGCTTTTCCTTGATGGACAGCACTGAGCCGAATTACTGGGTCCCCTGCAGGTTTCTGGGAGTTACTTAGCGCAGCAGGCAGGGCATTTGCCTTGCATGCAACCAACCCAGGTTGATTCCTCTGTCCCTCTGAGAGAGCCGGGCAAGCTACCAAGAATATCCCGCCCGCACAACAGAGCCTGGCAAGCTCACCGTGGTGTATTTGATGTGCCAAAAACAGTAACAACAAGTCTCACAATGAAGACGTGACTGGTGCCCGCTCAAACAAACCGATGAACAACGGGACGACAGTGTGACAGTGCCGTGCTACGAGGAAGTCGCTACACATTCAGCCTAAAACTGGGCTGGGAACCACTTGAACCAGGTGTTCTGGTGATCACTTACTGCACACAGACGGAGAGCACTGCTCTGGATGAATAATGGGCCAGAGGGAGAAGTCACAGGTTTGTGTGGGAAGGGGCAGGGCTGGGGTGGGGTGGGTTGGGGGCAGCAAGAGGGGCATGTGGGTTTTCTGAGGGCCTGCCCTGCAGAGGAGAGGAGAGACAGGGAGCGACAACAGTTCCCTAGGTCACAGCCGCTCCTGCCGTCTCCCAGGCTCCCCTGCTCCGGCTCAGCGGGTCAGTGTAGCTGGCCCTAGTTTAACTGGGCACATGCTTAGTCATGCTCTGCTTCCCTCCAACCTTCACTCCTCTGCCCTCTGGTGCCTGCCCGTTACAGAGGACGCGGCCAAAGGAAGTGCCCAACTGGTTCGTTGCAAAACCCGCCTGGCTTCATTTCCCATCCCTCGCAGAGACCTTGGGAGCTTCAGCAGGAGACACAGTCTTGCTGCTTCCTGCTCCTGACACAGCTCACAGTGGCCAGGGCCACTGTGGTCCCATCCCCAAGCGGACCGGACAGATGTGACTCAGGTACAGGAACACAGACCAGGGAAGACACAGACTCCGGCACGTAACACCTACAAGGCATGAGATTTATTTGGTGGGAACGTCACATCCATGGCCCTTGAGAATGGGAGGCATGGAACTGAAGCATCCGTGAGAGTCGGAGGAAGACATCGCCTCACAGAAGCCTCTCCCTGAGTAACCCCCATATGGCATGACAGAGTGGGGTGGGGGGAACGAGCGTCCTGGTGCCCCTTGGTGGAGAAGGGACAAGCAGATGGTCTGCTTGGCATCCCAGTCCTTCCTTTCCTCCAGCATCCTTACAGTCTGGCACTGGCGGCTTGAGGCACGGGGCCCATCCACTTCTCTCCTGGGTAAAGACGGTGCCCAAGTCACAGCCAGGCCTTCAAGTCCCCAGGGAGCTGGGGAGAGCCGAGTCCCCCCACTCAGTAGCCTAGCACGACTGGGACTGGGCGTGGCATCCCAGCTGGGAGGGTCCCCAAAAGTCCACAAAGCTTTTCCGTTCTGAATCTGTTTCTGGTCAACGGATCAAATGGGGCAAGGGACAAGGGCAGTGCAGGGTGACCCTGGGACTCACCCAGTAGGAACGCCAGCAACTCCATGCGGTCCGAGCCAAACAGCATGTGGGTCTTGCCATCCACATGGGCCACGGTGACGGGCAGCCCAAAGGCCTGGGGAAGGTGGTTCAGGGTTGGGAAGGTGGGGAGGGGTCGGTGTTTATTAGGTTGGGGGTGAAGGCAGAAAAGCAAGGCGGGTGGAGCGGATGCTGAGGAGGCCCAGGTTTCTTTTTTTTTTTTTTTTTGCTTTTTGGGTCATACCTGGTGATGCCAGCGATGCACAAGGGTTACTCCTGGCTCATGCACTCACTCAGGAATTACTCCTGGCAGTGCTCGGGGGACAATATGGGATGCTGGGAGTTGAACCTGGGTCGGAAGCGTGCAAGGCAAACGCCCTACCCACTGTGCTATGGCTCCAGTCCTGAGGCCCTGGTTTGTTTTTTTGCCTTTTGGGTCACACCTGGTGATGCTCAGGGGTTACTTCCTGGCTCTGCGCTCAGGAATTACTCCTGGCGGTGATTTGGGGACCTATGGGATGCTGGGAATTGAACCCTGGTCGGCCGTGTGCAAGGCAAATGTCCTACCCACTGTGCTATCGCTCCAGCCCCGAGGCCCAGGTTTCTAAGGTGAGGCCTTCGTTCCCGAGATGCTGCCTCGTTTCTCACTGGTCCCACCCTCAGTCTCACCCCAGCCCCTTTCCTTGGGCTCAGGGTAAGGGAGGGAAGGGCTCAGCGTTCTCTGGGAGCATAGTAAGCACCAGCAGGGAGCAGCTTTTGGACAGGAGACCCTCAGACTCCCACGTTGGGAGACAGAGAGCGAGAGTCACTCACCCCGTAATCACAGGCTTTCTTGGTGGTCTCCTTCAGCTGGTTCTTCACCTCTGCTGTGGCGATCATATCGAGCAGCTTCCGGATCTGTTCGGCAGACATGCCGGCCTTCTCTGCAGCCTGAGGGGAGGTGGCGGGACCCTTGTGTGTCTGCGTCGGCCACCATCTGGGCCTTCCTGTGTCCTGACCCCAGGGTTTCCTGGCAAGGCCTTGACCCACCCACCAGCCAGAGAGGGGCAGTGTGGGCTTCCTTCAGAACCCTGAGCTTTGATGGGAAGAGCAGGTGGAGAGCGGGTGACAGCACAGAAATGAGACTCCAGAGGATGAGAAGAACTTCCCTGGCCCCTTCATTGCGAGGGAACCCAAGGTCAGGGGCGGCCCAGGCCGGGTCAGTATCTCAGAGCTAGTGAGTCGATGTGAGAGGCTCTGTCCTCAGACTTAAAAGTTCATGTCTTTCGACTTCTCAGCATCCGTCAGTCCCTCATGCTCCCTTGGACCAGGAGCTGAGTTCTGAGTGCGGTTGGAAGTTCCTAGTGGTTTCTGATAGGGCAGAGGACTGAAACCAGCTACCTTTCTGGTTTCCAGAGATGACATGGGCTTGTTTAGGGGTTGGATGTTGGTGTGCTTTGGGACCTGAGGCTCTCAACTTTGCCCGCTCATGCAACTGTATCTGGGGAACATTCCCCCCATTCCTCCCCTTTAACTAAATCACTATGAGACACAGTTACAAAGTTGTTCATGATTAGGGTTTCAGTTATACAGTGTTCTCACACCTTTCCTTCACCAGTGTACATTTCCTATCACCAATGTACCCGATTTTTCTCCTGCCCCTCGCCTGCCTCTATGACAGATCTTCTCCTCCTTCTCCTTCTCCTTCTCCTTCCCCTTCCCCTCCCCTCTTTCTCTTCCTTCTCCTTCTTCTTCCTCCCTCTCCTTCTCTCCCCCTCCCCCTCTCTTTCCTTTTGGGCCTTAGGGTTTGCAATACAAATACAGAAAGGGTATCCGGTTTATCTCTCTACCTACTTTCAACACTCAGTTCCTGTCCATTATGATCCTTTCCATTTATTATTGTCAAACTGGTCCCTTCTCTATCCTAACTGTACCTTCACCACCACCCCAATACATTCTTGTGGCAAGCTTTCAACCACTGACCAGACCTCCTGATCCCTGTTTTCTATCTGGGTAAGTTAAAAAATAATAAAAAAAGAAACACTTGTAAAGCTATGCCTTGGAACAGGGTGCTGTAACCACTGCTTATTAACCTGGTGCTGGTCTCCAGCGGTAGAAGGGTAGTAAGTGCTGGTCTATCATGTCGTTATAACTGCTGATTTGAGGACCAGGGTGCAGCATGGGCAAAGGTTAACACTGCACCAGACAATGAATGAGTGGTGGTGCCTAGATGTTCCTGGTGACTATTACCATGCAGCCTGTATACCCGGACCTCATCCACCGGGGGGTGAAGCACCAAGTTAGGCACTGCATTTGGGAGAGATGTTGTCTTTGACTTAGCTTAGGGAGGAACTTCATCCCAGAGCAAATGTTCCACAGTCAGGGACCAGGTAAGTGAACAGAACCAGGTCTGCTGAGTGGAAGACTGTGGAGACACTAAGAATGTTGCGTCCAAAGAGTCTTGGATGGCACAGAAAATGATGAAGTAAAAAAGGCAGGAAGTTACAGGGCAGGGATGAGGCTCAGGGTCGAACACCTGCTTTATTGGCTCCCCAGCACCCAGCCTATGAAACATCAAACCCAGGCATCAGTATCTAAGCTGCAGGCGTAAGAACATCAGAGGGTGTCTCAAGCCATTCCTTTCACTTTTTTTTTTCTTTTTGGGTCATACCTGGCGATGCTCACGGGTTACTCCTGGCTCATGCACTCAGGAATTACTCATGGCGGTGTTCAGGGGTACCATACAGGATGCTGGGAATCGAACCCGAACCTGGGATGGCCGTGTGCAAGGCAAACGCCCTACCCTCTGTGCTATCGCTCCGGCCCCTACATTTGACATTTTTGAATTGCCCACTTGCATTTCTGAACAAGTCTCAACTAGGTTTTGTAGAACACAGGGACAGTACTGCTTTGAAGCTTAGGATTTATTCCTCAGGACAAACTGACCTTTTCTATGTCCATCTGTCAGGGTTTCTAGTTCTTTCCATTCCTCTCCCTCCAGCCCGTGGACCTATCCTGCAGCTGGGCAGTTAACTCCTCTGGTCTCCTGAAGCCTCCATCCTGGCTTGTGCGGATGTACTGGTGAGGCGTGTGCAGTCTCTGGGGCCAAGATTTAGGACGATGCTCTCTCCTACCGCCGCAGCCAGGGCTACTCACACCATCCATCAAACACGTTCTCCCCAGGGGGCAGGGGGTGGTGGTGGTGGGACTCTGCACATCCCCTTTCAACTTCTACATCCAAATTCTGATTTTTCGGTGATCTGCCTTTGACCCAGACATCCTTTCTCCCCAAATAACCAACCTCCAACCTCCTAAATAAGAGAGCTCCCTTTCATCCCCCAAAGCCAACTGGTCCCTGACTGAGCAGAGCAAAACAGGGTGGGAGACACTCACGGCGGTGATGCTCTGGGGCTCCGTGATGTCTTCATCCTGGGGAGGAAGAACTCTCAGCAGGCAGGGTGCCAGGGGAAGGGAGGGCAGACCCGCAGAGTCACCTGACACCCCCCACGCGGGGCCCCAGAGAGCCTCACCCGCGACCAGACACGCATCCAGAGCTCCCTGGACACTTTCTCCAGCATCTCGGGGTGCGTCATGCTCACGGCGGTGAGAAAGCGCATGGCCGACAGACTTCCTGCGGACACAAGTCCTCAGGGGGGCCCTCGACCTTGCTGCCCTGGTCTCGCCGCTCCCCCTGCGTACACCCCAGAGACCCTCTGCCTCCCACCGTTCCTCCCGACTGACTCTCCAAGGTGCCTTCTCCCCTATGTCCCTGCATCCTGCTCAGCTGTGGTCCCCGGTGCCCAAGGCCTGTTTCCCTCTACAGCCTTCCAACGCTCCCCCCCCCATTTCCCTCCCCCGTCTAGCCATCTTTACCTTTGACTATGATCACAGACATGAAATCCTTGGGGACATTGAGGGGCACTTGGAAATGCTGGCCCTGGAGTTTCACGTCATTTAGCAAATATTTCCCTCTGCGGGGCAGCATGGCAGGTGGCTTGTTCCCTGAGAGAGGAAACGGGGCCCCCCCACTAGTGAGAGGACTGTCCGTCTGCCCCCCCCACAGGGCTGCCCAGAGAAAGATCCAGAAAGTGGTGGGCAGACCCCCTTCTCCCACCGACTCCCCGTGTACCGCTGTCCTGCATGACGCCAGCGATGAGGGTAGGGCGCAGCTGCAGGTTGACATTCCAGATGTTCTTATAGCGACACAGGATCTGCGGGCACAGAGGTGGAGCCCAGGGGCAGGGCCGCGTGAGAGAGGGGCCCGCAGGAGCGCAGGCAGGGTGGGTGTTTCTGGGTGACAGGCTAGCTGGTAGGTTGGTCGGGGCCACCACGGGGGTCTCCCGGGAATTCTGCCCTCCTGCACACTCTCCCAAGGTCCCTGCCTACACCCCAGGCCCTTTGCTCTGGAAACGGTTTCCATCCAGTTCTGCTCCACCCCTCTGCAAACTGACCGCCTGTGCCAACGGAGGCGAGGTGCCAAGGGGCCAAGGGTTTCTTCTGGATTCTTTGTTATCGTTTGCTTTGGGGGACACACCACGTGGTGCCCCCACTCCCCTCCCCGGGATGCTCAGGGCTTATTCCTGGCTCTGAGCCCCGGGATTACTCCTGGCGAGGCGTGGGGACCAAGTTCAGTGTCGGGGATCGAACGTGGGCACGCTGCGCGCCCAGCAAGCGCCCTACCCGGGGTGGGTCACCTGGGTTCTCCGAAGGGGGGGTGGGTGTGTGTGTGTGTCTCTCTTCTCGCCGACCGCCCCGGGGCTGACCTCTCCCCTAAGCTACAGGAGCCAGGCGCAGTGACCTTCACCCCGGAGGGCTGGAGGCACCTGCCCGGGTTCGCCGCCCCCTCCCCCGGCTCCCCGCGCGCCTGGGCTCGCCCCCGAACCTCCCCCCTTGCGTCACCTCGAAGCCCAGCCAGGAGTAGGGGGACAGCACATCGTAGAAGAGCTCCAGGGTCCGCGGCAGGGGTCCCATGCTGGGGCTCCGGAAGAGAGGCAGCGGCGGCGCGTTTCCTTTTCTGCAGCCGGCGACGCCGCCCCGTTCCCGGCCTGCCCCGGAGCTCCGCCTCCGCGGGGCCGGAGCCCGGGACCCGAGCCCAGCGCTGGGCCGGGCGGGAACCGGGACTAGGAACGGGACCGGGCTGGGGCTGCAAGGGGGCCGGGCCGGGCAGGGGGCGGGGGCTGCAGGGGCCGGGCCTGGGTGCGGGCGGCGCTCGCTGGCCGCGCCTCTCCTTTGCCCAGCGCCTCTGACCACTGGCTCCGAGCCTCAGTTTCCTCCTCGTCCTTCCTGAAATCGGTGGGTGGTGATGGGAAAATCCAGACCCAGGGTCTGCAGGAAGGTTACCTGCTCTCTCTTTATCATGCAATTGTTTGATCTATCTAGAAAAAAATTCCTTGTATAAAGTATGAATCTAAAAACACTCTGTCTAGGGGCTGGAGCGATAGCACAGCGGGGAGGGCGTTTACCTTGCACGGGGCCAACCTGGGTTCCATTCCCAACATCCCATATGGTCCCCTGAGCACCGCCAGGGGTAATTCTTGAGTGCAGAGCCAGGAGTAACCCCTGTGCATCTCCAGGTGTGACCCAAAAAGCCTGTCATAGAAGCAGGCTGGGAGTGGGTGGGGAGTGATGGGAGGGAAACTGGGGACACTGGTGCTGGGAAACATACAGTGGTGGAGGGGTGGGTGTTGGAACACTGTAGGACTAAAACCTAATCATGAACAGCTTTGTAAGGGGCTCTCTCATAGTGATTCAATAGAAAAAAATCTTAAAAACAAACACACATAAAAAGAAGATACCTGAACATGGAGAGTATCATGTTAAGCGAAATGATTCAGAAAGAAAGGGATAAACATAGAAAGATTGCATTCATCTGGGGAACATAAAGTCACAAAATAGGAGACTAACACCCAAGAATAGCTGAGATAAGTACCAGGAGGTTCACGCCATGGCTTGGAGGCGAGCCACACATACTAGGGGAAAAGGCAGCTCAGATAGAGAAGGGAGCACCAAATAAAGGGTGTTAGGAGGATCCTCCCAGAATGGGAGAAACATGCTGAAAGTAGACTCTAGACCAAACATGATTGCCACTCAATGCCTCTTTTGCAAACCACAACACCCAATAGGAGAGAGAGAACAAAAGGGAATGCCCTGCCACAGAGGCAGGGTGGGATGGGGGGGTGGTGAGGGGTGGGAGGGATACTGGGATCCGTGGTGGTGGGAAATGGGCACTGGTGGAGGGATGGGTGCTTCATCATTGTATAACTGAAACCCAAGCACAAAAATTTGTAAGTATGACCCAAAAAAGCAAAAACAACAACAACAACAAATTCTGTCTAAGTCTCCCCGTTGTCCCAATACTGTTTAATGAAAAATTCTCTATGACTGATTTGAAAAAAAAATTTATTATTGGGTTTTGGGGCCATACTCGGAGATACTCAGTAGGGATTCCTGGACACTCAGGAATCATTCCTGGCGGTGCTTGGGTGTGTGTGTGGGGGGGGCGTGCTTTTGGGATGTCGGGATCAAACCCATGTCCTCTGCATGCAAGGCAAACGCCCCATCTGACTCCGAGCCCTTCCCCAAGCAACTTATTTGAAGCATTTCTGGTGTCAAATGTTTTATTATAAGCAGCAAATGTAAAGCCCTACTTAGGTTCCAGTCATACCGGGTGTGTGTCAAAAACCAAAAGAATAATTTCTATAAAAAGTTCTCAACAATGAGACAGCTGCAGACGCTATTCTCTGCAGCAAGTAAAATCCCAGCCTGCCACCCAGGACCCCTCCCAAGCACCAGCGGGTCCCAGGACCCCTCTGCAGTTCCTGCGGAGGCGCTTCCACACCCAACAGGCCCGGCTAGGCTGGTGCCAGGCATGGTGCCAACCTTTGAGAAACACAGGAGAGTGAGGGAAACTTGCACCAGGGCCCCAGGAAGTTCCCGGGCAATGGTCAGGTGGTCTTCCTGCCCACCCTTGATCTCCTTTGCTCTCCTCATGGGCTGGACCCTCCCATACCTCCCACCATTGCAGCCCTGCTTACCGTGGTGACTGGAATGTCTCCAGTATCACTGACTCTTCTGTGAAAGACCAGGGTTGGTTCTCTCTCTTCCGTCCAGTGTCTGATAATTCCAGCCAGTTCAGTTTCTTCACGGGTTCTTGCTCCCATTTGAAATGTCTGCGTTTACTATTTCAAATACTGCTCCTTTTCCTGCTCCAACCACTCTGATTAATACCTCAACAGCCCTCTTGGCAATAGGAAGGCAATAATATAATTATATATTATGGTATATTCTAATAATATGTTGTATATAATAAGCAATTCATTTAAGTGATTGACAAACATTAATAGTAATAACGGTGAATGGAGGAGGAAGGGTGTGGAGGTTTAGATCAACGTTTCACCCTTCTATGGTCTTTGAACTAGTTAGCATGCCCGTTCAAAAACCATGCTAACTAGTTAACTGGGCTGGAGAGATAGCACAGTGGGTAGGGTGTTTGCCTTGCATGTGGCCGACTTGGGTTCAAATACTCTTCTCAGAGAGCCTGGCAAGCTACCGAGAGTACCCACCCGCATGGCAGAGCCTGGCAAGCTCCTCATTGTGTATCCGATATGCCAAAAACAGAAACAACAAGTCTCACAATGGAGACATTACTGGTGCCCGATTGAGCAAATTGATGAACAACAGGAGGACAGTGCTATAGTGCTATGGTCTTTGAAATAAATACACATGAATTCATACTGGTATGATGATGAATAAATACGATAATCCTTCATTCAGTGGCATCACTTATGTGTGGGACTTCGAGTAATTGGATGAGGAAATGCAATGGTTTAAAGGGATTATGCCTAGATCACCCTTGGTCCCAAAGTATAGGGAAGAGGAAAGATGAGTGGGTGGAGGTGGGGGGGGGGAAGAGATAGATGAGAAACAATAGGGGACAAAGGTCAAGGTACATCAGTGGTGTTAAGGAATGATGGGGCTAAATCTCCAGACCACAGAGTCAGCAACCCTGGAAACATGAGACCCAAACTCTAACGCAAAATTTTAAAAGATTCCTGTCAGGCGGTCAGACTGGGGTTGGGGCTGGGGGTGTATCTGAGAACATTGTTTGGGAGGGCGCGTTGACACTGGCAGGGTTGGTGATGGAAATTGTATATTTAAAACCCAATAATGAGTATCAATCACTGTGCTTTAGTAAAATTAAATTAAAAAAATATTTTTTGACTTTTTTAGGTCACACCTGACTATGCTCAAGGGTTACTCCTGGCGGTGCTCAGGGGACCATATAGGATGCCGGGATTGAAGCAGGTCAGCCACGTGCGAAGCAAACACCCTACCCACTATACTATGCTCCAGAACCCCCCCCCCCCCCCAGCCCCCTAAAAAAAGAGATAATTCTTTGAGAATTATTCCAGTCCATACATGGAGAAGAAACTTCTCCAACACCCCAGTTATAACAACTGTAGTCAGAACCACGGTTTGTCTGGACTCTCTAAGTGATGGTGTGGGAGGAAATGATGGGGAGTTGGTCCAAAACATCATCTCCCTGAAGGACAGTCTCATCATCACCTCATCAGGGTGGTTGTTTTTTTTTCTTACAACAGGTAAGGTGCTTTGTGGCATAGGTCTGACCCAGCAAGAACAGCCAGGTGTGGGGCCCCAAAGCAAAACAAAACAGCAACAACATAAAGTTAAAGAGGTTAAGAAGGTGCCTGAGGTAAAGGAATATTCCTGATAAACTTTCAGCATCTGTATTGCAAACCACAATGCCCAAAGAAAAGAGGGGGGGGGGAGAGAGAGAGTGAGAGAGAGAGAGAGAGAGAGAGAGAGAGAGAGAGAGAGAGAGAGAGAGAGAGAGAAGAGAAGAGAAGAGAAGAGAAGAGAAGAGGAGGGAGAGGGAGAGAGAAAGGAGAGGAGAGGAGAGGAGAGGAAGAGAGAAAGGGAATGAGAGAGGAGAGGGAGAGGGAGAGAGAAGAAAATGCCTTCCATAGAAGCAGGCTGGGGGTGGGTGGGGAGTGATGGGAGGGAAACTGGGGACACTGGTGCTGGGAAACATACAGTGGTGGAGGGGTGGGTGTTGGAACACTGTAGGACTAAAACCTAATCATGAACAGCTTTGTAAGGGGCTCTCTCATAGTGATTCAATAGAAAAAAATCTAAAAAGAAACACACATAAAAAGAAGATACCTGAACATGGAAAGTATCATGCTAAGCGAAATGAGTCAGAAAGAGAGGGACAGACATAGAAAGACTGCATTCATCTGGGGAACATATAGGAACAAAATAGGAGACTAACACCCAAGAATAGCCAAGATAAGTACCAGGAGGTTCACGCCATGGCTTGGAGGCCAGCCGCACATGCTAAGTGAAAAGGCAGCTCAGATAGAGAAGGGAGCACCAAATAAAGGGCGTTGGGAGGATCTTCCCAGAATGGGAAAAGCATGCTGAAAGTGGACCATAGACCAAACATGATTGCCACTCAATGCCTGTTTTGCAAACCACAACACCCAATAGGAGAGAGAGAACAAAAGGGAATGCCCTGCCACAGAGGCAGGGTGGGATGGGGGGGTGGTAGGGGGTGGGAGGGATACTGGGATCCGTGATGGTGGGAAATGGACACTGGTGGAGGTATTTGAGCATCGTATAATTGAAACCCAAGCACAAAAAATTGTAAGTCTACAACTGTACCTCATGGTGTCTCACTAATAAAAATTAAAAAAAAAAAAAAGATACCTGAGGAGTTTGAGGGGAAAAAAAAAGTTGCTTGAAAAGTCTGATAGTAGAAACAGCCTTGCTGACTGCAGAAAGACCCAAAGCGAGGATTTATTCAGAACACACAATTGAAATCTTTCGGCAAAGTTTAGAAAGTCAGAAAATAACTGGGAAACATTGTGACCTCTTTTCACACGCCCCCAACTGACGATCCAACCCTCGAGCTAAATGCAGGGAAGTCAAATAGTAAAATAATAGAGGCTGAACCAACGCGTGGATGAGTGAGCAGAGCAGAAGATGGACATCAGTGGACGTGGAGACCCACCCCCCCCCGGCAAAAAAAAAAAATCCCTGCGTGTTCATCCTTATAAAAATTGTGAGCTGAAATCCACTGCATGTTTTCCTCTGCCCTTTTGGCAAGATCAACAACTTGGATGACTCAGGGCTTTGGCAGGGATTCTTGGAAAGCCTTTCTCTTATGTAAGGGAGGGATGGGAGTGCAAGCCGGAAGGACCTCCAAAGAGGGCAATGCAGAAATGTTATCCTGGTTTGAAAACCATCTGCCCTTTGGCCTAGTAGCAATTCCACTTTTACGAGTTTGGCCAGCCCGCTGGCTCAATTGCTTGTCTGCACTTTGTTGTTATGAGAGGGTGTTTATTCCAGTGTTTGCACTGGCCAAAGAGCAGAGGAGGATACCTACCTGGGATTGAATCAGTGCAGCGTTCTGTATGATATCTTCAACCTGAAGAATTTGGAAGTGCTACTTGTGTTAATATTAGGTACTATCTCCTCTGTGTTCACTGCATCACTGTATCACTGTCATCCCGTTGTTCGTCGATTTACTCGAGCGGGTGCCAGTAATGTTTTTATTCCTCCCAAGCTCTGAGATTTTAGCAGCCTCTTCTTACTTGTCTTTTCCCAACAACTGGAGGCTCTTTCAGGGTCAGGGGAATGAGACCTGTAGTCGTTACTGGTTTGGGCACATTGAATATGCCACAGGGAGCTTGCCAGGCTCTACCCATGTGGGCGGGATACTTGCAGGTAGCTTGCTGGGCTCTCCAAGAGGCATAGATTTACATATTTTTCTCTATGATTTGTTGCCTACTGTCTGAACCCCATCAAATATGGTGTGGTAATTATGGAAAATGGGTAGAAAGTGTTTTATAATGTGTCTCACTTTTGTGGCCGTGTGGAGCATGGTGGCAGTTGGGTAGCAGAGGTCGGCTGCTGGGGCTGGGTCCCTTTGGGGCGGGGAGGGCTCTCACCCGCCCCACTCTGGGTCATCCCGAGGGAAAACAGCTTGGCTCGAAGTCCAGTGGCATAGCTATGGGGGCCTCATTTTATACTCCCGTCTGGGAGAGCAGCCATGAGTTCTGGAGGTTGGTCAATTAGGAGATTATCTGGTGCCAGCAGGGTGTGGCTTATGGGTGTGACCCCTGGGTCACCAGAGACTGGGGGAAGCAGGCAGAGGATCTCTGCCCCCGGGTCCTGTTGAGCCCAGAGTCCAAGGTCACAAAGTTCTGCATTACCTGGTTTCCATGGGACTTCATTCATCCGTGAGACTCAGTCCGAGCGTCCAGAAAACGGCTTGGAGCATGGCAGCAGTTGGGTAGTGGAGGTCGGCTGCCCGGGATGGGTCCGTTGGAGTGGGGAGGGCTCTCACCCTCCCCCCTCTGGGGTGCCCTGAGTGAAAACAGCCTGGTGCTGAGTTTTCACACTGGTGCCTTGCTTAGGACTGCACTTCTGGGCCAGCAGCACATAACTCCGGAATGCGTTCCTAAATGAAACGCTGGAGGGTGGGAACCTACTGCCACCCGCCTCTGTCTGGGGGCCACGTTCTTTTGTATACTGCTGCCTTAGAGCTTGGCATCACTACAGACCCGGGAAAACCCAGCTTGGCACCAAGGCAGCCTCCTTGGAAGGAAGGGCTCCTCTGTGTTAGAAAGCGAAAAACAAGGTGTAGAACAGTGCATGGTATTTGCTGGTTGTTTTCTTTTTTTTTGGGGGGGGGGTCACACATCTACAAGTATGAGTGCCCCGCTCCCCTCTCCCCTCCCCCGCCCAAGATATTGTTGGATAGCACTGTAGCACTGTCCACTGTCCTCCCGTTGTTCATCGATTTGCTAGAGCGGGCCTAGTAACGTCTCCATCGTGAGACTTGTTGGTACTGTGTTTGGCATATTGAACACGTCAGGGGGAAATTGCCAGGCTTTGCCGTGCAGGCAAGATACTCTCCGTAGCTTGCCAGGCTCTCTGAGAGGGGCGGAAGAATCAAACCTGGCTCAGCTGGGCCTACTGCGTGCAAGGCAAACGCCTTACCCAATACACTTGGTAAGTTTTGAGGAGGGAGACTAGATGAATGAGAGGAATTTAGGAGGGACAATCTGTGTTGTTTATAACATTTAATTAAAACAACAACAACAACAACCTTCCTTCCCTTCTTTTGTTGTGATGATTGGGGTTTGCACATCTGATTGTGGTGTCAGGGATCTTTTTTTCTTTCTTTTTTTTTAATGTTGGAGTATTGCTATTTATTCAGCCATTGATTAAGCTGATTGAATTGGACAAATTGGACATGAACTCCACATTGCTTTTTTTTTTTTTAAGAATCCCTGTGAGATGCAGTTACAAAGCTTTCATGTTCGAGATTCAGCCGTACAATGATCGAACACCCATGCCTCCACCAGTGCACACTTTCCACCACCAGTGTCTCCAGTATATTCCCCGCCCCCCCCCCCCATTCCATTCCCAGTCTTCACCCTGCCTCCATGGCAGATAGTTTCCCCTCTACTCTCTCTCTACTTTTGGGCATTATGCTTTGCCCAATTTTTTCCACCACCATTTATGCCTGCCTGCCAGGGGCAGATGCTAAATCATTTATTGTCCCCGTGCTCATTTTCAGTATCATGGGTGCTGCAGCCATGTGCTTCTGGGAACCTCGATTGTGGATGGCTGGGTGCCAGAGACATTTCTGTAGGACACTAATCTCTTTTGGAATTCAACTGCATCTCTGGACCTGTTGGTGTGCTAAGATGGTGCCCGGAGGCACATTGTGGATGTCGGGATCTTAATGGCAGTATTGAACCCCGAGTGTGAGTTGGTGTCTGGGACTGAACTCTTGGCTTCATGCCCGTAAAGCCAGTGCTCTCTATTTGAACCGTATTCCCAGGCCTACAGTTTAATTTTGACTCACGTGCGTGTTTTACCTGCTCAGAAAGATAGACAGGAAGAGAGGGGGTGGGGAGGGAGGACGAAAATTTACAACAGGAAATAGCTGCCTTTGGGAACTGATCCTGGCCGAGGGGGTGAGGATCACGGGATACAGTGTATGATTTATTACCATTTGTCTATTTTACTTTGACTTAAGGAAAATACCAACTCTGAAGGCTGGGCAGCGAGGCGTGGCAGTTTTCAGATGAGTGTTTGCCGAGATATAACTTAGCATTTCCGACGCTGCTTCTCAGCGCCTGACCTTCTTTCAGAGGTTTACCGAGAGTGGCGTTACAATTCCGCACATCGGCGTTTGCATCACGCAAGCCAGCGGGCCTGATGTTAGTATGCGTCTGCTCTGGGGTGGTTCTGCTCTTTCCCAAGATCAAGTGCAGCTCGCTGAACTGCGGGAAACGTGACTCAGAGATAACTTGGTGAGACCGACTCCATTTGTCTGCACACCCATGAGCAGCATCAGGAGCAAAGGTTGTGGATGCCTGGTGCTCTTAGACCTTATAAATGATGCCCACGTGGGGATCCCAACCAAATGCGTTAGAAACACAATAGCTGTATTGAGGTTATGAACAAGGGAAAATATTTTTTCGGGCTCTTTTTTTGGTGTTATTTTTTTTATCTTTTTTTTTTTCTTTTTGGGTCATGGGCTGGTGTGATAGCACAGCGGGTAGGGTGTTTGCCTTGCACGCAGCCCACATGGGCCACCCGAGTTCGATTTCTCCACCCCTCTTGGAGAGCCCGGCAAGCTACCCAGAGTATCTCGCCTGCACAGCAAAGCCTGGCAAGCTACCCGTGACATGTTCGATATACCAAACACAGTAACAACAAGTCTCACGATGGAGATGTTACTGGGCCCACTCGAGCAAATTTATGAACAATGGTAGGACAGTGACAGTGACTTTTTGGGTCACAGCAGCGATGCTCAGGGGTTTCTCCTGGTTCTGCACTCAGGAATTACTCCTGGCCGTGCTTGGGGAACCATATGGGATGCAAGGCTGCCCTACCCACTGTACTACTGCTCCAGCCCCTTCTTTTTATTTTCCTATAGGGTCTCCACCCAGCTGTCTTCTGGGGGTGTCTAGGGCCATTCCCGGCAGTGTGATGCTTGAGCCTGTTAGGGCAGGGGCTACTAGGACTATACCAGCTTTTGGTTGTGCGATACCCAGAACCTAATTTAAGTCACCACACCTGCTAGGCATGTGCTCTACCACCTGAGCTATTTTTTTTCTTGGTCCTGATAATGTTTCCCTTGTTTATTTTGTTTGTTTGTTTGTTTTTTTTCTGAATCACCATGGGATACAGTTACAAGCTTTCATGTTTGAGTTATAATCATACAGTGATCAAACACCCATCCCTCCACCAGTGCACATTCCCCACCACCAGTGTTCCCAGTATAATCCCCCCTTTCCCACCCTTCCCCTGCCTCCATGGCAGATAATTTCCCCCATACTCTCTCTCTACTTTGGGGCATTATGGTTTGCAATACAGATATTGAAAGGCCATCACGTTTGGTCCTTTATCTACTACTTTGAGCACACATCTCCCATCCAGAACGATTTCTCCACCCATCATTGACTTAGCGATCCCTACTCTATCCCAGCTGCCTTCTCCCCCAGCTCATTTTCTGTTTTTACTAGAAAATGACTTCATTAAGATATAGAAAAGCGGCACATTGATAACTTTGTTTTGTCTCATGAACCCCCATCGAAGCCATGCTCAAGACGGAGAACATATCTGTCATCCTGCACCTGCACCTTGGCGATGTCTCCTTCCGCCCCCACTGCCCTCTCTCCCCAAGCAACCACTTGTCTGCTTCCTGTCACTAGGCTTGAGTTCTCTCAGATTTGCTTAAGATACTAACCATCTCCGTGTTCCCAAATAAGAAACCAGAGCCTGTGTTTGGTGCGGTCCCAGCTGGGAGATTTGGGAAGAGGCTCTTCCTGAGGCCCTGATTATATCATGTTCCCTTTGGGTGGAAGGATGAGAAGGGAACAGAGGGGACAAAATCACAGGGATGAGGGAGAAGGCAGCCTTGACCACCCCAGGAGGAATTCTGGCTGGGCTGCAGCAGAGTTTCCCTGATGTTGTGGAGTGGGTAGCCAGTCACAGACAATCATGCCCTGCTAAAGGAGGTGACAGGCCTGACTGCCAGGCAGACAGTGTCCCAGGGAGAGGGATGCTGGCATTTTTCCATCCTGGGCAGTGTTGGAATATCCTATCATCACAGAAGCGAAGTTCAAATCATGGAAAAGGAAGAGCTACCCAAGTATTTTTAAACTTTAGGCCTAAAAGAATCAGTCATTTGTTCAGTGATTCACATGGTCATTGGATGAGCTTGAAAATTCTCAGCCTCCATTATCGAGGGTCAATGGGAAATTGTCAGTGGGGACAGAGAGAGAGAGAGAGAGAGACAGACAGACAGACAGAGGAAGGGAGGGAGGGAGGGAAAAAGAGACAGAGAGAGAGAAGGAGAGAAAAAAGAGACAGACACACAGAGAGAGAAAGGGAGTGTGGGAGGGAGAGAGACACACAGAGAGAGACAGAGAGACAGATA